AGTGACCCATGTGACAGTGGTGGGTACTGTAGTGACCCATGTGACAGTGGTGGGTACTATAGTGACCCATGTGACAGTGGTGGGGTACTGTAGTTACCCATGTGACTGGTGGGGTACTGTAGTGACCCATGTGACAGTGGTGGGGTACTGTAGTGACCCATGTGACAGTGGTGGGGTACTGTAGTGACCCATGTGACAGTGGTGGGGTACTGTAGTGACCCATGTGACAGTGGTGGGGTACTGTAGTGACCCATGTGACAGTGGTAGGTACTGTGGTGACCCATGTGACAGTGGTGGGTACTATAGTGACCCATGTGACAGTGGTGGGGTACTGTAGTGACCCATGTGACAGTGGTGGGTACTGTGGTGACCCATGTGACAGTGGTGGGTACTATAGTGACCCATGTGACAGTGGTGGGTAGTGTAGTGACCCATGTGACAGTGGTGGGGTACTGTGGTGACCCATGTGACAGTGGTGGGTACTGTGGTGACCCATGTGACAGTGGTGGGGTACTGTAGTGACCCATGTGAGAGTGGTGGGTACTGTGGTGACCCATGTGACAGTGGTGGGTACTGTAGTGACCCATGTGACAGTGGTGGGGTACTGTAGTGACCCATGTGACAGTGGTGGGGTACTGTGGTGACCCATGTGACAGTGGTGGGTACTGTAGTGACCCATGTGAGAGTGGTGGGTACTGTAGTGACCCATGTGACAGTGGTGGGTACTGTAGTGACCCATGTGACAGTGGTGGGGTACTGTGGTGACCCATGTGAGAGTGGTGGGTACTGTAGTGACCCATGTGAGTGGTGGGTACTGTAGTGACCCATGTGACAGTGGTGTGGTACTGTGGTGACCCATGTGAGAGTGGTGGGTACTGTAGTGACCCATGTGACAGTGGTGGGGTACTGTGGTGACCCATGTGACAGTGGTGGGGTACTGTAGTGACCCATGTGACAGTGGTGGGGAACTGTGGTGACCCATGTGAGTGGTGGGTACTGTAGTGACCCATGTGACAGTGGTGGGGTACTGTAGTGACCCATGTGACAGTGGTGGGGTACTGTGGTGACCCATGTGACAGTGGTGGGGTACTGTAGTGACCCATGTGACAGTGGTGGGGTACTGTGGTGACCCATGTGACAGTGGTGGGTACTGTAGTGACCCATGTGACAGTGGTGGGGTACTGTGGTGACCCATGTGACAGTGGTGGGGTACTGTAGTGACCCATGTGACAGTGGTGGGGTACTGTGGTGACCCATGTGACAGTGGTGGGTACTGTAGTGACCCATGTGACAGTGGTGGGGTACTGTGGTGACCCATGTGACAGTGGTGGGTACAGTAGTGACCCATGTGACAGTGGTGGGGTACTGTGGTGACCCATGTGACAGTGGTGGGTACTGTAGTGACCCATGTGACAGTGGTGGGGTACTGTAGTGATCGTGACCCATGTGACAGTGGTGGGGTACTGTGGTGACCCATGTGACAGTGGTGGGTACTGTAGTGACCCATGTGACAGTGGTGGGTACTGTAGTGACCCATGTGACAGTGGTGGGGTACTGTAGTGACCCATTTGACAGTGGTGGGGTACTGTAGTGACCCATGTGACAGTGGTGGGGTACTGTAGTGACCCATGTGACAGTGGTGGGGTACTGTAGTGACCCATGTGACAGTGGTGGGGTACTGTAGTGACCCATGTGACAGTGGTGGGGTACTGTAGTGACCCATGTGACAGTGGTGGGGTACTGTAGTGACCCATGTGACAGTGGTGGGGTACTGTAGTGACCCATGTGACAGTGGTGGGTACTGTAGTGACCCATGTGACAGTGGTGGGTACTGTAGTGACCCATGTGACAGTAGTGGGGTACTGTGGTGACCCATGTGACAGTGGTGGGTACTGTGGTGACCCATGTGACAGTGGTGGGGTACTGTAGTGACCCATGTGACAGTGGTGGGGTGCTGTAGTGACCCATGTGACAGTGGTGGGGTACTGTAGTGACCCATGTGACAGTGGTGGGGTACTGTAGTGACCCATGTGACAGTGGTGGGGTACTGTAGTGACCCATGTGACAGTGGTGGGGTACTGTAGTGACCCATGTGACAGTGGTGGGGTACTGTAGTGACCCATGTGACAGTGGTGGGTACTGTAGTGACCCATGTGACAGTGGTGGGTAGTGTAGTGACCCATGTGACAGTGGTGGGGTACTGTGGTGACCCATGTGACAGTGGTGGGGTACTGTAGTGACCCATGTGACAGTGGTGGGGTACTGTAGTGACCCATGTGACAGTGGTGGGGTACTGTAGTGACCCATGTGACAGTGGTGGGGTACTGTAGTGACCCATGTGACAGTGGTGGGTACTGGAGTGACCCATGTGACAGTGGTGGGGTACTGTGGTGACCCATGTGACAGTGGTGGGGTACTATAGTGACCCATGTGAGAGTGGTGGGGTACTGTGGTGACCCATGTGACAGTGGTGGGTACTGTAGTGACCCATGTGACAGTGGTGGGTACTGTAGTGACCCATGTGACAGTGGTGGGGTACTGTGGTGACCCATGTGACAGTGGTGGGGTACTATTGTGACCCATGTGAGAGTGGTGGGGTACTGTGGTGACCCATGTGACAGTGGTGGGGTACTATAGTGGCCCATGTGACAGTGGTGGGGTACTATAGTGACCCATGTGAGAGTGGTGGGTACTGTAGTGACCCATGTGACAGTGGTGGGTACTGTAGTGACCCATGTGACAGTGGTGGGTACTGTAGTGACCCATGTGACAGTGGTGGGGTACTGTGGTGACCCATGTGACAGTGGTGGGGTACTGTAGTCACCCATGTGAGAGTGGTGGGTACTGTAGTGACCCATGTGACAGTGGTGGGGTACTGTGGTGACCCATGTGAGAGTGGTGGGGTACTGTAGTGACCCATGTGACAGTGGTGAGTACTGTGGTGACCCATGTGAGAGTGGTGGGGTACTGTGGTGACCCGTGTGACAGTGGTGGGGTACTATAGTGACCCATGTGACAGTGGTGGGGTACTATAGTGACCCATGTGAGAGTGGTGGGTACTGTAGTGACCCATGTGAGAGTGGTGGGTACTGTAGTGACCCATGTGACAGTGGTGGGTACTGTAGTGACCCATGTGACAGTGGTGGGGTACTGTAGTGACCCATGTGACAGTGGTGGGTACTGTGGTGACCCATGTGAGAGTGGTGGGGTACTGTAGTGACCCATGTGACAGTGGTGGGTACTGTGGTGACCCATGTGACAGTGGTGGGGTACTGTAGTGACCCATGTGACAGTGGTGGGGTACTGTAGTGACCCATGTGACAGTGGTGGGTACTGTAGTGACCCATGTGAGAGTGGTGGGGTACTGTAGTGACCCATGTGACAGTGGTGGGGTACTATAGTGACCCATGTGACAGTGGTGGGTACTGTAGTGACCCATGTGACAGTGGTGGGTACTGTAGTGACCCATGTGACAGTGGTGGGGTACTGTAGTGACCCATGTGACAGTGGTGGGTACTGTGGTGACCCATGTGACAGTGGTGGGGTACTGTAGTGACCCATGTGACAGTGGTGGGGTACTGTAGTGACCCATGTGACAGTGGTGGGGTACTGTGGTGACCCATGTGAGAGTGGTGGGTACTGTAGTGACCCATGTGACAGTGGTGGGGTACTGTAGTGACCCATGTGACAGTGGTGGGTACTGTAGTGACCCATGCGACAGTGGTGGGGTACTGTAGTGACCCATGCGACAGTGGTGAGTACTGTGGTGACCCATGTGACAGTGGTGGGGTACTGTGGTGACCCATGTGACAGTGGTGGGGTACTGTAGTGACCCATGTGACAGTGGTGAGTACTGTGGTGACCCATGTGACAGTGGTGGGTACTGTGGTGACCCATGTGACAGTGGTGGGGTACTGTAGTGACCCATGTGAGAGTGGTGGGTACTGTAGTGACCCATGCGACAGTGGTGGGGTACTGTAGTGACCCATGCGACAGTGGTGAGTACTGTGGTGACCCATGTGACAGTGGTGGGGTACTGTGGTGACCCATGTGACAGTGGTGGGGTACTGTAGTGACCCATGTGACAGTGGTGAGTACTGTGGTGACCCATGTGACAGTGGTGGGTACTGTGGTGACCCATGTGACAGTGGTGGGGTACTGTAGTGACCCATGTGAGAGTGGTGGGTACTGTAGTGACCCATGTGACAGTGGTGGGGTACTGTAGTGACCCATGTGACAGTGGTGAGTACTGTGGTGACCCATGTGACAGTGGTGGGTACTGTGGTGACCCATGTGACAGTGGTGGGGTACTGTAGTGACCCATGTGAGAGTGGTGGGTACTGTAGTGACCCATGTGACAGTGGTGGGGTACTGTAGTGACCCATGTGACAGTGGTGAGTACTGTGGTGACCCATGTGACAGTGGTGGGGTACTGTAGTGACCCATGTGAGAGTGGTGGGTACTGTAGTGACCCATGTGACAGTGGTGGGGTACTGTAGTGACCCATGTGACAGTGGTGAGTACTGTGGTGACCCATGTGACAGTGGTGGGTACTGTGGTGACCCATGTGACAGTGGTGGGGTACTGTAGTGACCCATGTGAGAGTGGTGGGTACTGTAGTGACCCATGTGACAGTGGTGGGTACAGTAGTGACCCATGTGACAGTGGTGGGGTACTGTGGTGACCCATGTGACAGTGGTGGGGTACTGTAGTGACCCATGTGAGAGTGGTGGGTACTGTAGTGACCCATGTGACAGTGGTGGGTACAGTAGTGACCCATGTGACAGTGGTGGGTACAGTAGTGACCCATGTGACAGTGGTGGGTACAGTAGTGACCCATGTGACAGTGGTGGGGTACTGTGGTGACCCATGTGAGAGTGGTGGGTACTGTAGTGACCCATGTGACAGTGGTGGGTACTGTAGTGACCCATGTGACAGTGGTGGGGTACTGTGGTGACCCATGTGAGAGTGTAACAATAACAATACCGTTGTGTTTGCAGGGGATGAGCGAGGCTGAGAGGAAGCTGGAGGCTCTGACGCAGCAGATAGAGGAGGAGATGGAGAAGCAAGAACAGGAGGGAGAATATTATGGTGAGTATTTCCTCCCTTACTTTGTTACTCATCTCGCCTACCATCTGTCTCTAATACTCTCTCACGAAGCCAGCCGCTGCAAACAACAGCCAGTTGGATCATGATATCCTGGGTAAGGCAGTTGGTCCCAGGTAAGGTTTGCAGAGTAGATCTCCGAGAACCTAGGTGTACTGAAGACTGCATAGATAGGTTCCCCCCCCCCCCCCAGGGGTGAGGAGACGTGAGGAGCAAAGCTGGTAGATACAGCGGACGCGAACTTCACGGAGCAGTAAGACAATGGTCACCGACGTTATGGGAAGAATAAGAGTGACACATGAATGCCACACAAACCCCAGACAATATACCGGATATTAACACAAACTCGGAAGACTGAAGTACAAATTGACAACATGCCCATGCACTCAACTCCTGGGCCGGACTCGTGGAATTCAATATTCATAAAGAAATGTAAAGTACCAGTAGCGAGAGCACTCAGCGTAATATGGAGAAAGAGCCTGGATACAGGGGAGATACCAGCAGCACTTAAATCTGCAGATATAGCTCCGTTGCACAAGGGGGGGAGTAAAGCCTTGGCAAAAAATTATAGGCCAGTTGCACTAACATCACACATAATAAAAGTTTTTGAAAGAGTAATTAGGAATCAAATTTCTAGTTTTATGGAAAATAATGAGTTACACAATCCAGGACAACATGGATTTAGAGCGGGAAGATCCTGTCTGTCACAGTTACTCAACCACTATGACAAAATCACAGAAGCTCTAGAAGAAAAGCAAAATGCAGATGTTGTATACACAGACTTTGCAAAGGCGTTTGACAAATGTGACCATGGGGTGATAGCTCACAAAATGAGGTCAATGGGAATAACTGGTAAAGTACGACCCTGGATCTCAATTTCCTGTTGAACAGAACACAAAGAGTAACAGTCAATCAAATCAAATCGAGTCCAAGCGCAGTTAAAAGCTCTGTACCTCAAGGTACAGTCCTTGCACCGCTACTGTTCCTTATTCTCATATCAGATATAGATAAAAATACAAGTCACAGCTTCGTGTCATCCTTTGCAGATGATACAAAAATCAGCATGAAAATTACCTCTGCTGAAGACATGGAAAAATTACAAGCAGATATCAACAAAGTTTTCGATTGGGCAGCAGAAAATAACATGATGTTTACCAGTGATAAATTCCATGTACTCAGGTACGGCAAAAATGAGGACCTGAAACATAATACAAGGTACAGAACACAATCGAATCTGCCCATAGTAGGAAAACAGCATGTAAAGGATTTAGGAATAATGATGTCCGACGACTCAACGTTTAGGGAACATAACCAAGCAAATATTGCTTCAATCAGAAAAATGATCGGATGGATTACGAGAACTTTCAAATCCAGGGATCCCATCACAATGGTTGTACTCTTCAAGTCACTTGTGTTGTCCCGTCTTGAGTACTGCTCAGTACTCACTTCCCCCTTCAGAGCAGGAGAGATTGCTGAAATAGAGGGAATACAGAGAACGTATACAGCACGCATAGACGCGATAAAGCACCTAAATTATTGGGATCGTCTCAAAGCCCTCCAAATGTACTCACTAGAAAGGAGACGAGAGAGATACCAAATAATATACACATGGAAAATACTGGAGGGCCAGGACCCAAATCTACACAGTAAAATAACAACGTACTGGAGTGAACGATATGGAAGAAAATGCAGAATAGAACCAGTGAAGAGCAGAGGTGCCATAGGCACAATCAGAGAACACTGTATAAACATCAGAGGTCCGCGGTTGTTCAACGTCCTCCCAGCGACTATAAGAAATATTGCCGGAACAACTGTGGACATCTTCAAGAGGAAACTAGATTGTTTCCTTCAAGGAGTGCCGGACCAACCGGGCTGTGGTGGGTATGTGGGCCTGCGGGCCGCTCCAAGCAACAGCCTGGTGGACCAAACTCTCACAAGTCAAGCCTGGCCTCGGGCCGGGCTTGGGGAGTAGAACTCCCAGGACCCCATCAACCAGGTATTAACCAGGTCTCCCCCACCATGCTGGTGTGTGTGGGAGGTGGTCTCCCCCACCATGCTGGTGTGTGTGGGAGGTGGTCTCCCCCACCATGGTGGTGTGTGTGGGAGGTGGTCTCCCCCACCATGGTGGTGTGTGTGGGAGGTGGTCTCCCCCACCATGGTGGTGTGTGTGGGAGGTGGTCTCCCCCACCATGGTGGTGTGTGTGGGAGGTGGTCTCCCCCACCATGGTGGTGTGTGTGGGAGGTGGTCTCCCCCACCATGGTGGTGTGTGTGGGAGGTGGTCTCCCCCACCATGGTGGTGTGTGTGGGAGGTGGTCTCCCCCACCATGGTGGTGTGTGTGGGAGGTGGTCTCCCCCACCATGGTGGTGTGTGTGGGAGGTGGTCTCCCCCACCAGAATAGAATTACGGTATTTTGGTGGGCTGTTATGGCCCCACGTGGCCTGTGACTTGTCGCCTCCCCTTCCCCCTGGTGCCGCCCCTGGCACCCTGGTGCCGCCCCTGGCACCCTGGTGCCGCCCCTGGCACCCTGGTGCCGCCCCTGGCACCCTGGGGCCGCCCCTGGCACCCTGGGGCCGCCCCTGGCACCCTGGGGCCGCCCCTGGCACCCTGGGGCCGCCCCTGGCACCCTGGGGCCGCCCCTGGCACCCTGGGGCCCCGCCCCTGGCGCCCCTGGCACCCTGGGGCCGCCCCTGGCACCCTGGGGTCGCCCCTGGCACCCTGGGGTCGCCCCTGGCACCCTGGGGTCGCCCCTGGCACCCTGGGGCCGCCCCTGGCACCCTGGGGCCGCCCCTGGCACCCTGGGGCCGCCCCTGGCACCCTTCTCCCGGTGGGAAGATGGTGTGTGTGACATCAACCACTATGCCACACAAGCGGCACAGAAGGGAACCAGTGAGGAGTAGCGGTGCCACAGTCACAACCAGAGAACACTGTCTCAACATCAGAGGTCACAGCTCCTCAATAAATATTGCCGGAACAAAAGTGGATGTATTCAATAGACATTAAAACAAGCTCTTGCAACAAGTGCCGGACCAACCAGGCTGTGGTGGGTATGTGGGCCTGCGAGCCGCTCCAAGCAACAGCCTGGTGGACCAAGTTAACCCAAGTGGAGCCTGGCCTCAGGCCGGGCTCGTGGAGTAGTACTCCCGAAACTCACCCCCTACTGTGTATCCATATGTATACGGTAATGTATATCCGGTGTGACGGCGTGCTATTTACAGAGATAAGCGAGGATATGGTGATGAATGAACAGCCTGGTTCACCACCAAAACATCCTCTCCCTTGTTGGTGGCACTGATGATGACACTTGGTGTGTGTGGGCACAACATGTGACACATCTGGCAGTTATCATGTCTCATCACCTCACATTTACTGAACATAACCCAGCAAACCTGGCGGCGGCGGCGGCGGCGGCGGCGGCGGCGGCGGCCTGGAACATGATAGGAGACATTATGAGAACGTTCACTTCACATTATGAGATGACACTTGTTCTGTGTATACTCATCTAGTTGTGCTTGCGGGGGTTTATCTCTGGCTCTTTTTCCCGCCTCTCAACCGTCAATCAACTGGTGTACAGGTTCCTGAGCCAATTGGGCTCTATCATATCTACATTATAAACTGTGTATGGAGTCAGCCTCCACCACATCACTGCCTAGTGCATTCCATTTATTAACTACTCTGACACTGAAAAAAATCTTTCTAACGTCACTGTGGCTCATCTGGGTACTAAGTTTCCACCTGTGTCCCCTTGTTCGTGTCCCACCCGTGCTGAAGAATTTGTCTTTGTCCACCCTGTCAATTCCTCTGAGAATTTTGTAGGTGATTATCATGTCTCCCCTTACTCTTCTGTTTTCCAGGGACGTGAGGTTCAGCTCCCTGAGCCTTTCCTCGTAGCTCATATCTCTCAGTTCTGGGACTCGTCTGGTGGCATACCGCTGAATCTTCTCCAACTTTGTCTTTTGTTTAACTAGGTATGGACTCCAGGCTGGAGCTGCATACTCCAGGATTGGTCTGACATAAGTGGTATATAAGATCCTGAATGATTCCTTACACAAGTTTCTAAAGGTAGTTCTTATATTGGCCAATCTAGCATATGCCGCTGATGATATCCTATTGATGTGGAACTCTGGGGACAGGTTTTATGTGATATCAACCCCCAGATCTTCCTTTCTCTATTTGACTCTTGCCTCATTTCATCATTTACACTTAAGTGAGTTAAAGTTTAGTAGCTTCAGTAAAATAAGCTCAGTAGCACGAGAAATATTCTCAAACCGCATACCAATAAGAAGAAAAGAGGAAGAGATGCAGATTGGAACGGTAACGTCGTTCCCTATATAGACGAAGAAAACGAATCGCGGAACAACTTGAGAGTCGCACCCTATCTCAAGAACGGCGAAGAAGGTTAGCTAGAGAAATAGAAACAATTGAACTCAAGCTACAAGAATCATACAAAACCCAGGAGAGGCAAAGAGAGCAAAAGGCCATCAGTGAAATAGAGAGAAATCCGAAATATTTTTTCTCCTATGCAAAATCAAGATCAAAAACCACATCTAGTATCGGGCCCCTGCGAAAGGGAGATGGAACTTTCACAGATGACAACAAAGAAATGAGCGAGTTACTGAGGAATCAGTATGACTGATTTCAGCGAGCCACTAAACACACTGAAGAGTGATAATCCTAATGAATTTTTCATGGATATGATACCAACATCAAATCATATATCAGACTTCGCCCTGACATACTAAATACAGCATAGTACCACCCTATAAAGAAGGAAATAAGGCAGAGGCAAAAAATTACAGACCGATAACACTAACATCATACATCATAAAAATCTTTGAGAGAGTGCTAAGAAGTAAGATCACTTCTTACAAAATAAAATAAGATTTTATTTTGTTGACTATTACACATTGGGTTCTGTTAGTCAGGAAATGTTAGATTAATCTGTCTATTTCCCCGGTAATTCCTTTTGAACGCATTTTATGTGCA